CTCAAAGGGGCTCTCGCCTGCTTTAGGCCTATCACAGTCCTGCTGAGACAGCAGTGTGCACAGGGCAGTTTTACCTGGCTGGGCTGCCCTCGTGGGGCCCCAGTTGAGAATCACTGCCGCAAGGTGTTTAGGTTCTTAAATAGCTTTGACTTTCAGAGAGACTCGAGTTCCTCAGTGCTAAACCGGCAGACAAGGTTCTTTGGGTGAATCTGATATCTTTTATTAGACCTGTGTTTGAGAAAGGGAGTTGGGCACTAAAATTGCTAATACCCTAATGCTGGCTCTGCAAACCTCCTGCATGGAGAGGAAGGGCATGCTTGGCGGTGGTTCGTTATTGTGCTAATTCTTCTTATCAGAAGCGGAGGAAGCAGTTTCTGTGCCCTGGGCGGTGGTGGCCATGGGCCTGGCAACAGTGGTGGCTGCCATTCTTGCATCCCCTCAAAAACAGTGCCTGGGGCTGGTTCCCTGCTCATCCACCCCTGGTGATGCTAGTGTTTCTTGCACGTGCGAGGTTTTACTGCTGAGAATGCACTTTCCCTAACGTGAAGTGGAATTTTTTAATTTAAAAAATGTTTCAACAGTGAATAAGCCTGAGTGTGTTCAGACTTGAATGGAAACCTGGAAAAGGGGCTGTAAATGATGTCTTTTGTTTTCTCTTTGCTTAACAAGGAGCGTCTTGTGATACCCAAGCCCAGCTTTGCTTTAATCTCAAGTGGCCCTTCTCCCACACCTGCAAACATGCACATCCTGTACACCTTGTACTGAGGTTTGAATCTAGCCCTGAGATTATCCAGGTCCGCTCCTGGGCTTGAAATATCCCCTGCATCTGTAACTAATCAGGAAGCCACATAAATATTGCTTCTCCAACAGAGAGGGAGCTGGTTGGAGTTGGGGATGCGGGGGTGAGATCTGAATTCTGGAGCCCAAATACATCTTAATACTTTTCATAAATTATAAAACAAGAATTACTGCTAAGAGAATTAAAGTGGCATAAAATAGCATGAAAGAGCTGAAGTCTGAGAGTGTTTGCAGTAAGGAGTTACTTTGCAATTAAGGGGTTGCATTTCTAAAACTTAAGAAATACATTTGACAAAAAGTATAAAAGGCCTTATCCTAGAGGCATTTGTCTTTCAGTAGCCTGGCAGTCCTCACAGAATAATTGCATTGGAACCACTGCAAATCCAAGGCCCTGCCCCTCCTTCGCGGGTGGGGGGCTTTGCAAGCCATGTGCGTACCAGCTACAAACTGGGTGACCATTATCCCTGCTGTTATTAATGAGTTTCGGTAGCTAAAATGAGATCTGTGATAAACTAAGTTTTCCGTTTTTGGATAATATTTTTTCATCATCTCTGCAGTGATTCATCCAGCTGTCTGAGTGCAGCTAACGCTGGCTTCCAAATCGAGTGACTTCAGATTTTAATTTAGTGGAAGCGTTAAGAAAAGCAGATGATTCTCCGTGATAAGTTAAAGCAGATATCTCCTAGGTGAAAAGTTAAAGCCATTTATTAGAGGAGATATTGCCGTGATATTCTTCAAACTGACGCCCGACACGAGGCCAGAATCTAAACGATCAGCTTTGGGCTCACGATAAAGAGATAATTTTGAAATGGATGGTCACATTTTACAGTGGGGCCACAGAGGCAAGGAATGTAGAACACAGTAATTACAAGTTTGGTCTTGATAAAACACTCTCCATCCTGTTTAAGTCAGCAGAGGTTAGCTCGCTTGGATCTCCACTTTTAATTGGTTTTGGACTTGGGCTTGTGGAGGCAGAGGTCCTTGTTCAAATTAAAACATTGCTCAGGAGCTACATGCCAAGGGCTAACACAGGGGAGACTGTGATTTTGCACCAGCTTTGTGAGAGATCGGTGCAAAGTGGATACCCTCAGAGAGCAATTTTTATTGCCTGGGTGGGTAGAGTTTCCTGGCTGCTGTAGCTTGTATGATCTGGAGGCATGTAGAAACCAGTGGGGACCTTTTTGCATTTCCCATCTTTTGTTAATGTTGGGTTAGGGACTGTGCAGGCAAAGATAAAAATGAAACCCCTCTGTAATGCCCTTCCCTTAAAAAACTAATCCCAAGCTGAAGTCCTGCCCCTGACAACCCTAGGCTCCAAAAATGATTTTTGATTTCAGCTCCTACCTACCTGTAAAGAATTGAATAAAACTCTAGTGCCCAGGCATCCCTATTTCTAGAAATGCATTCAGAACCTGGATCTAAATCCAGACTGTGCATCTTGTGTCCATCTAAGATGGATGCTGGGTTGCCCTTCTAGATAATTTACTTCTATCTTGCAGCCTGACTCTTCTTTACCATTATCTTTGATAAATATCTGGATTATGGCTTGGTGATCTGTGCCCACCTTGCCCTAAATTATTGTCATTGAACCAAGTTACCTGACTTCTGTGCCTCCGTCCCCCATCTGCAAAATGGAAGTGATGCCACGGTGCTCCACAGAGGTGCCCCGAGAAATAATTCAGTATAGTAAATACATTCATAAAAAATATCCTGTGACTAGAAGAGTTATCCGCTCCAAAACTTTCAGCTCTTTTGAATACATAAAGACCAGCTAGCAAATACGGTGTATTGCTTCACATGGGGGACGGTGTAACCAGTACCTTGGAATCACCTGTGCCCAAAGGACATTACATTTGACCCTGGATTCTTTTTTATAAAGCGCTAGATCATACTACAGCCAGCTATGCATCAGTAGCAGGGTAAAGATAATTGAGCTCTCATGCTTCAGGGCATAAGATCAACTGTCTGCATGGGTCAGGAAGGAATTGTTTTCTCCCTGCAGTGCACGATTATATAGATGCACTTGTTGGAAAGGTGCTAGGTACTGTGAAAAGGCAGAAATTTGCCATCCTTATTGGAAAGGAGATGGGTTTGAAGAACAGACGTTGACTCCTAACTTTCTGTCTAGAACCTGGATTGGTGCGAGGAGAACACTGCTTTGTCAGGAATATCTTTAGTAGAGCAAGCGGGCTTAGTTAACCAAATGGTTTCACTTTATGGGCTGTACATAATGATTCTGTCCTGTTACCTGTCTACCAGAATGTGTGACCCACGCATTACCTACTATTCAGTTATCATCAGCTCATTTATACCTAATGTCTGGCTGTCTTCAGCATTCTGAGAAAAAGGAATTGGCAGAATTGAGAGAAAATTGTAAGTTAGGTTTTTAAAATAGAAACAGGCATTTTGAAAACCCCCTCTTTAATGACTTGGCTGCCTTTTGACAAATGTTTGCAGTGTCTCGAAAAAAACAGAGTTATTTATTTAAAAGCATGCAAAGTCCCTCTGCTATCCGAACCCCATCGTTTAACAATAAATGATGCCTTTGCTGATAAATGAGTCTCTTTATGCAGACTAGCAAATGAAATAGGACATGATGGCTGAAGGCAGACAAATGTGCAGCAGTCTAACGCTCTCTCGTATTATAATCTGTTTAAAAAAGAAGGAAATAAATGCCACCCCAAGTTCTCAAATGGGTATCTTGCTGCAAGTTTTAAATACTCTGCCCTCCCTTTCTGATATCTCATTCTTGCTTTTGCAGCTCAAAAAGGCCAGTGGTTAAGTGGGTTCTTTGACCATGGCTCCTTCCTGGAGGTCATGCAGCCTTGGGCACAAACAGTTGTAGTTGGCAGAGCCAGGTAAGTCCCCAGAGACCTCTCTGTACCTTTGTAGACATTTAGCTCCAGTGCTGATGCTCTGCATTTTTGCTGATG